TTCGGCCCCGGCTAAGATAAGATGTTTCACTGTTCTTGATTGCCTGCATCGAACCTTGTAAATCGATCGGAACGCTTTTGCCACATCCATTGAGTGATTTGACTCAAATTAGTAGATGTGACAGTTGACCATCATCACTTCCAAATCAATTGCTATTTGATCACCTTCATGGTATACCATGATCAGAATCGTCGACCGTCATCTCCAATTACGAAGTGCCTTATGACAACTGGTTACCGAGTTGATATCTATCTCCACCCACCACTGTAATCTACTTCGTCTATATTTGACTGCTTCTTATCAGAACGCGCTCTGTCTGTAGGCCAGGTGTGGACAAACAAAGCATTCTCAAATCAGCCCATGATTGATGAGGCAATCATGCCTGTTGGAGAGCACTAACTTCTATAGGCCAGCCTGTGTTCATGTTCGCTCGAGCACGGGCAGGTCTCCATTCTATTTGCAGAATAGCACCACTCAGACCAACAATCAGAAACCCCTCAGCAGCACAAGCAGCAACAAAACTGCCTGTGTGCCCCTCCTCGAAAGCGGATAAGGAAGGGGCATATGTTGCACTTTTGTTGCAATTCACTTCCGCGGGACAAAGAGTGATTGACGGTACAGCCCCGAGCTCTTACACAGCTGAATAATTTAAGCTCCCGTTGATTTACACAATTCAATCTTGTCCATCACTCCGGAACAATGAGAAGTTGTGTAATTTGTGTTCCGTTTTATTCGGAAGTTCACATAACGTGTCTTTTTTAACGTCAACATATGTGAAATATTTCATACCTCCATTTTACCCTCAGAGTGCATTTGCGGTGGGGTGGAAAGTGTAAAGTGTAGTATCTAGAACAAATCACTCTGTTGGTTTCCGCAGATCATACTCGCAACAGCATTAATATCATCCTCATTTGGCGAAATAGTTTCAGGTGTACTGCAACCGGTCGGTGCATATACTGATATGACGAGGTTATGAAAACCTTTACCAGGAGTCTGGATCACAAAGATCCCGTTAGGATCCTTGGTTGCGGTCCTCGGGATGATCGTAACCGATGGTTAGAGACACTCGGGGATATGGTTGAGTTTCGTAAACAGGTGCGTTCGTGCATCTTTTCAATTTCTTTGCAGCCATAGTTTACTGGAGTTCTCAATTTTCTCCTCGACTCTAATTCCCATCTTGTTGTCTTTCTTCTACTGCTTCATCCAGATAGGCAGCCAAAGGACAACAAAGAAATCCGATGCAAGAAACTGCACTATTAATGGTTGTACAAAGTGAAAGTGAAACTGATTGATGAAACGGTTGCTGCATTTTCTTGCAAGTGCAGCTGGAATTTCCAAACCCTTTGGTGATGTATCATGGGATCAAATTGTTTGATAAATCTACCCAAGGAGAAATGGATATGTATCATGAACCAACAGACACGATCGGACAGATAATAGGCGCCTGTTGTTTCGTGTTTGAAATTGTGAAAGGTTCGGTAGCCTTGTCGGTATTCGAAGCCACTCCTGGACACCGTCTACGCATTTGTACACTGCCCGATACGAGGCTATACGAATAGCACTGCTTGCACGCTACCTGGTAGATACCATATGATTCTGTAAGCTGAATGGGCGATTCGAATGTGAAAAGATCAGTGCTAACGGTGTGTCCTCGTAACTCAGCTGGTACAGTGTGTGCTGTACAAAAGCGTGGACGGCCTCAATGCATGGCTTTAAATCCCATCGAGGCTACTGAACTTTTCAAAATTTCAACAGAAAACTTCAATCTGTCCAACAATAATATGAATAATCTGTGGTTTTATATGGACGGGAACCTAGTGACCAATGCCAGCAATCCATCAACTCTCAGGGTGACATCTTTCACGGTTGTTACAAAACACAGTTGGGCTTGAAAGCAAGCGTTGACTGGAATCCGACGGGCAGCTAAACACCAGTAGTGGACAACACTATTCATTTCATGGCTGATGTCAATTAGAAGGACGAAAAAGTGTGTGTGGATGTTCAATCAATGGACTATTAGGATGATGCGGACACAGAGGTGAGGTGAGGGGGGCAGAAGAGATGGAGCACAGTTTCCTGTAGACTGATAACTTGTGACTCCTTGTAGATTAATTAAGATAAAATTATCCAATCTCTTTGCATCCAGTCTACTTTTCAATCTCCCATGCACTTTTTGGTATGGTATTGTGTTACTTAAACATGACAAAGTACACGTTTTCAATTACTATAATTATTGCTGCAAACAAACTAAAAACGATAAATATGCCCTACGAAACACCAATGCTCTAGCTGACTTTTCTGCAACTTGAGAACATGAGTCCGGTGGTTTTGGACCGTTTTATTGATTCTTGCAACGAATTCGTTGCAGTGGTAAGGATTCGTTATCCATCGCTGGGGTATGAGTGACAGTGGTCGACAGGAGTAAATGGATGACGACAAATTTCCTCTTTCTCTCTTTCTCTCTCTCTCTCTGTGTATCGGGTTAATCAGTTCGCGTTGCCGTATTTTTCATGTTTCATGTCCAGTCAAGTAGTGCCTAACAAAATTTTACCTCTATTTCTGCTGTTATTCTATCTCAGGAGTGACCTTATGGGAAATTTTCACTTACGGCCGTCGACCGTATGAGGATGTGGAGACGAAAAATATCAAAGATCATGTGATGAAAGGTGGTCGTCTGACACAACCAGAAATCTGCACCCTGGATGTGTATATGGTCATGGTAAAATGTGAGTTTTGTCGACTGGTAGTAATACGTTTTTTTTACATCACTATTTTGTGTGCAATTTTTCATGCTGAACAAGGCGAGACATTCTAAAAATGTCCCATTTGGGGTGCACCGTTAAACTCACAAATCACAGTTTCATTCAGTACAACCCTACACCGTTTAGCGACCGTTTCATATTGTTCTTCTTCCCGAAAACCTGTCTGGCTTAGTATTGCGAAAATAATAAATGAAATATTTAACATGTCAGAGTACTTTTAGGAGGCGCATAGAGAAAACACTTGAACTGTCTCTATTATTATTAATATTATTATTATTATTATATTTCGCAGTTGTCTGAGGACAGACTGTGTGTGGAGCATTTCATGGTACAATAATCGTTTTACGAAAAGGTAAAACGTGCCATGATTGTCTTGTGGGCTGAATACTGTCAGGTTCCCCGGGGCCTAGGCAGTGAATTATCTTGAGGAATTCACAACCGGAACGTTCGGTTAGCCGAAGCCTGCCCCGCTAGGTAGCGGTGAGGTGTGTGAAAACCGCAATCCATTGAGCGCACGTGTCCAGTTCATCAGATCTTTCACTCTTTGAACGGAGTTAAATGTCAAAGGTGCCTAATACAACTCGATGCCAAATTGAGCCAGTGATCACTGTCACAACCGAAAAGGTTTGTGAGTGGTTCGTACGCCTCCTCATTTTTGATTTGGAAACAGGGTTTATGGCCAACTCCTCTAGGTGAACTACCAGTGGTTCATTGACCCGGTTATAGCACCAGATGCCGGCGTTTTGTCCTTTCAATTTGGTGGGAAAACATCTCCGCCAAGAGAGGACAGTGAGTAGGGTTTCTTCAGTAGAGGCTGTTAGAGAAGCTCGGTCGTTTGGGCGCATTTAGCGAGGTACAAGGACAAGGTGACCAGCCGTAACCGTAGACACCCACCCCCGACCATACTGAGGCAGTTTTGAACTGTCTCTCTGTAGAAAGTGATTAGTTAGATGCACATGTACCACTGAATCCGAAGTTCGACCATATTTAACCGTTGATTAATTTGGTCTCGAGGTTCCCAACAGGTGACCAATGACCCCCGACAGATTTT